CCCCAAAACCCCAAAACCCCAAAACCCCTGCTACTATTTTTAAAGTTGAAAATTCAAATTTATTAAATCTTAGACTATCTTAGGCATGAAACCAGCCTCAGACCAGTCTTTTCTGATCTGCATGAGTCTTTGGTTGTTCTTCCTCTTCAAAATCTTAGCTACTGAGTCTCAAAAATTAGATTTAGGATAGTTCGGCTGAAAACTGTAGAGGTTATAATTATGCTTAGGAGAGGGAGCAGTACTCATAGAGAATCCTCTTTCATGCTTAGTATACTCCTGGTTTCGAGTAGCTGCAAATAACTTTTTCTTATCAGCTAAAAATCAACCAAGAGAGTACCTATAATAGCTTGCTTTTCTTTCAGAGAAGCCTCTGGAGGCTTCAGCTTCATAACCTCGCATTTAGGCTGCTTCTTCAGATTCTTCTTCAAAATTTTCTTCAGAATCTTGAACTTTCTTTTCTTCATTGTCCCTGACTTTTTCGGGGATTTTGATTTCGATCTAAGATTTTATAGTAAAATTTAAGATTTTGGTTTGAAAATATAAAAATTAAAGCTATCGTCCGACCATTTCGTACCGAGAAATCTTTCTCTTGGAGTTATTCAAGCTTGGAAGGGCAGGTAATCTGCTATTCTGGGCTACTTCTCTGGTCTTAAATTTGTTACTTAGCCTATAAGAGTCATACAACTGGAGTACCTCTGAGGCGTCTGAGATTTCATATTTAGCTATATTAATGATAAACCAGCTAATTCATTAGTCGTGATGTTTGAGAATTTTTCAGGACCAACAGAGAGCGAAGAAATAATAACAGATTGCTCAATTTTAAACCGAGTCATAGCAGAACTTACACTCATCTGAGGGCTCTGTGTCAGCTTCCTTTTATCTAATTTTGAAATTTCATCTATGAGGACTAGATAATTCAATGATGCTAATCAATCAGAATTTCATAAATCTCAGATTTAAGAATCAAATTTTATTATTCTACTAGTAAGACTCAGAATCAAGGCTGGATACCATGAGTACCAATAAGATCTAAATTGATATTCTAACAACTCTGAGTTTGAAATTTTCAAGACTCACAATTAGAAATATTATCATTACTATCAGGCCAGCTTATAAAAATTCAATCTAAGATACTAATATCAAAATTTTCCAAAAGAACTTGAAAATTTCTTAATCCTGGATACTGGAAAAATTCCAAAGGAGCTGATCCTAGTCTCTAGAACCCAAGACTGTTCCCAAGTCATTCCAAAAGTATTTCCCCTGATTTAAATAAGCTTTTGTATTCTCATCCGGATCTTGTATAGAAGAAAACCAGTAATAACCAAATTATCTCAGAATAATTTTCCAAAATACGCAAAAGAATTATATAAAATGTGATAAAGTTAAAGAAAACAGTTTATTAATAAATGGGTTGTTTAAAGGATAATTTTAAGAAAATTTCAGGTTTTGAAGGATTTTGTATAGTTAGAAATTACCGAAAAATAGAGTTTAAAGGGGGCATAGAGTTATCTAGAGGCGCAGAATTGAATTTTGAATGTGGAGATATGCTATAGCGTTATAAAGGGGAAGTAAGAATTAAATTTATTTTGGTTTATTGGAAGGTAAAATTTGGAGAAATATTAATCTGGCATTTCTTAGTTTGTATAATATAGAGTATTTTTGACATGTGTACGATTATATTTACCTCTTGTGTACTGCTTCTTAAAAAATTGAGCCTCCTTCTGACGTCTTGAGTTTGATTTTTGAATGTAAGAAATTAATAGGTTAACTGTAGCTTCATCATCTTCTATCTTGAACTTCATAGGAGATAACAAAGTTGGTCTTGAATTCAATAAAGGATTTGATGGGACTGAAGCTATAAAACTTATTTTAAGCCACTCATAACTCTCAAGCAATCCAATCAGTAATTTCTCACTCCCTCAATCGAGTAAAAACAAAATACGACCCAATAAAACCTCAAAGTAATAAGCACTTACCAAAGTTAATTATTTTCTCCATTTTAATAAATTTTCAATTATATTTATCAAAACAGGGGTTTTGGGGTTTTGGGGTTTTGGGG